TTGCAAAATGCTTACATTAAATACCTTTAATAAACAAAATTTAATGTTATCTCTGCATATGCTTTCTTCTAAAGCTATTGCCATAAATAATGTCAAGTGTATGGCAATAGCTTTATACTCTTGAACATCACAATTTAAAAAAGTTCAAATATTTAACAGGACATATCATAATTCTATGCCTAGAATTATGATGTGTTGTCACCCAACTTGATATGTCATGAATCTTGATATTGCATGATGAGTCCTCCTGTTATATGCCTTTGTAAAATGTTTTGCTTTGTTAATAATTTCTTTTGTTACGGTACAATGTACTTATGACAGTTGCTATCAATTAGTTTATTCACTTTCAGTGCAATTATAAGGACAATAATTTTACTGGTTATTTATTTCCTATCTATGTCTTTTTCTTACCATACAGAATATCTTTTCCTTTTAATAGTAAAGCTGATGATGCATCATCAGCTTTTTTGGGTGGAGAAACTATAGTGCTGCTCCAATAATTTGGTATAACTATAAAAGTAACTCGTTTCGTTCTTCTGATGAGTCAGCCATAATTGATTTAACCACCAACATGATGGCACTAAAGTTACCAGATTTCAAGATGCATTTATATTTATATTTTCTGACATTTAAAATTATCACATTTGATCTAAAATTCTCATACATATACCAACATACATATATAAAAATATTCATGTTGTTTCTTTCCCAATTGAAGGAATTTGATAATGTAATTCTGGTTTGCTTCAGTCATTCATAATAAGATACATACAACGTCTTTGGCATATATATTGATGTTAGACTCATTAAATGAAGTGTTTACGTGATAATATCAAAATTCTTTGAAAATGTTGACAAAAGGGAAAAGTTGAGCATATGAAACACCGCTAGCCAACACCAAATGCCGACGGTTGGCAACTATGAATAAAGTCTATTAAAATATGACCTCTAATAACTTAACACTGCGTTGAGTAATAACAATCCACGAAACCTTTTTTTTTATAACAGTGTTTTCTCAAAATATGACCAAAGTAAGATTCAAATATGAAATCTGATAAATAAACCAATTTTGCAAAACTGTATAAATTAAGAATTTAATTTTGTATTACTAGTAATTTAATAATATAAATATCAGCACAACAACTTATAGTATAAATATGAAAAAATTTCTTTCACTAATATTATCTATGGTCAAATTATTATAATTATTTTTAAGAATCCAGAATTATTTAAAGATACACAAAATCCAAATACGTGAAAATTATTAGATCATTTAAAACAGACAGAAATAGGTTTACCAAATTAAAGGATACTTAAAAATGATTAATTCTACCATTCTCCAACTATCACTCTATCCTATCCCATCCAGAAAAGTAAAATGAATGACTTCTGTTAAGACCGATATATATATATATATATATATATAAAGATAGGCATACACCCGACAATAACAGTTTAGTTAAAACGTAAGACCGTCCTTCGAAATAAAGGACAATTGCCGACCTTAGGCAGAAAAGATAATTTTGTAAAATACAACCCAATTAATGCTCGTTATTATACACGCAAGAAAACAGCTTGAAATAATTAAAAATACAAAGTTAAATACAATTACTAGCATTTACTTCATTTATGCTTTATTTTAATAAGAGAGTTTTTAAACAAAATTAAGATTTCTAAAGAAAGCACTTACAAGTTCATACGATTAAATATTTTTCACTTTCGAAACGAATGATCTTTCCCATATCGTTACAAACAATTCCTCAACAATTGAAATATCCTAATTTACTTACAAATTATATCACAAGACAAATATTTTGTTTTTTGTTCCAAACAATTATATTATAATTAATACATTGGTGATTTGATTTAATTGCCTTCATCCAAGATTTATGATCACAACATATTAATTTCCAGCAAAACCTCGTATTTACTTACAATTCAAAGTGCAAAGAATAACTTGGTATCACATTTAATATCATAAATAAGCGACTAAATATTATTTTCATACACACCATATAAGAGAATAAAATCTCATTTATAACAAACAATATTAATTTACTAAATTCTATTTGTAAAAACACAATTAACTTTATTCTAGTTTGTTTATGCAGAAATAAATAGAAATCAAAGGGAAGAATGTGAACATAATAACATTTACTGTATATTTTTAGATAGAAAAAACATACAAAATGTGATTAACTTACAATTCGACCATCCATTCACCATTTAATATATCTGACCAATTATCTTCGTTTAAAACTATTAAATTCCCTTTACAATTAACTACGGTGATAATTTGAAGAAAACTTAAAAAAACGCACACGTGCCATAGAACAGACTTCATGGCTCGCGCCATCTTGGATGGCAGCCCCGCCCCGAATGAAGAAATATCCAAATGATTAATGATATTTTCATTATATATTTTCCCGTTTTTTAACCATTAAATTTTCTATAAATATCAAATGATTTATTTTCAATTTTTATAAAATTTTTATTTCGGCTTCTGTTAAATGTATTTTTAAATTTTCAATATTAAAATATAACCATTTTTGAGAGAAGACATTCAAATTATAAATATAAAATCGCTAATTAATAAATTAAATTATTTGTTTCGCACGATATTTATTAATAATGTCATATATTAATTAAAGTTACAATACTTACAATACTCGGATAAATTCAAATAACATTAAATATACAGCGCCATCAATAAGTAGTGATTGTTTCTAATTCCATCCGCCTGCGGGCACTAAGAACACCTTTATATTAGCAAGTCCATCGTGGGTTCGGCTAAACCCACAATGGAGCGGCCGGATATTGAGGGATGGGGCCCGACGTATTCGGACCGGCCACTTTCCGAAAAATTCTTAGTCTTTTCAACAATACAATATACATTAATAGTACAATAATTGAAATATAAATGTGTAACCCAACATAATGAAGAATAGATCTCTTGATTGAATATTTAATTACAACATAGCTACCCAAAGCTGATGGGTTGTCATTATAAAATGGTTTTTATTCTCTTCTTCCAGGAAATTGTTTCCTGCGATAGTTAGAGACTGTTCCGTAACATTTTTACCTCTACAGCAGTTATGATCCGACTATGGCTCCCGGTCCAAATCCGCCCCGCAAACACATTTCATACATTACTTACAAATGAAGGAAATAGGCCTACTTTTAATGCCGTATATATGAAACATTCAGAATACAAGTGCCCGCCATGTGCGCAATATGGCTTGCGTTATAGTAGACCACGGTACATCACTTTTTCCTATTTAAAATATGCAATTTCCGGTTATAATTAACTCTTGTAAGAAACTAAAATTATATTTTAAAATTAGTTCATACGTATTGTGGCCAGATAGGCAAAGAGATTAAAGCCTTAGTTCCATTTGCAAGTTTGAGTGGCAAAAGATGGCGGCAAAGATGTAGGACTGTGGTGATTTCTAGTAACCGTGAACAAATCAAAAGGGAGAGATAAGGTTAAGGAAAGTTGGATTATGACAAGAATGCTCGGAATACTGTCACCGAAACTATACCACTTCAGGACGTCATGGGATAATGCTAATTCAACGGACGCGAACATCGATACCTTAATTGAACGATTTCGACTGGAAGAAGACAGATTGAAGGAAGACGACAAGAAGGAAGGAAACAGAATGCCCTCATTTCAAAGCAGAAAACGCAAGGTAACAAGGACAGAAGTCAGCAGAAAAATTCAAGAGTCCAGTGTTTCAAATGCGGACAAAAGGGACACATAAAGAAATATAAATCAGGGCTGTGGAATCGAATAAAAATCTACCGACTCCGACCAAGAACGGACTTGTTACCGAAAGAGACCCGGAAATTCTGACGTCATCAGGTGACCTCAGAATAAAAGATTCAATAAATAGAGTTCTAATAAAGATAGAACGTAGAAACTTTTTATTTCAAAGCTAAAAGACTCCTCTAAGTAATATATAAATATGGATTCCGACTGTTATATATAACAGAGGGAAAGTGTAGCGCTCGGTCAAAAAATGTCCCCTCCAAAATTTTTNCAAATACGTGAAAATTATTAGATCATTTAAAACAGACAGAAATAGGTTTACCAAATTAAAGGATACTTAAAAATGATTAATTCTACCATTCTCCAACTATCACTCTATCCTATCCCATCCAGAAAAGTAAAATGAATGACTTCTGTTAAGACCGATATATATATATATATATATATATAAAGATAGGCATACACCCGACAATAACAGTTTAGTTAAAACGTAAGACCGTCCTTCGAAATAAAGGACAATTGCCGACCTTAGGCAGAAAAGATAATTTTGTAAAATACAACCCAATTAATGCTCGTTATTATACACGCAAGAAAACAGCTTGAAATAATTAAAAATACAAAGTTAAATACAATTACTAGCATTTACTTCATTTATGCTTTATTTTAATAAGAGAGTTTTTAAACAAAATTAAGATTTCTAAAGAAAGCACTTACAAGTTCATACGATTAAATATTTTTCACTTTCGAAACGAATGATCTTTCCCATATCGTTACAAACAATTCCTCAACAATTGAAATATCCTAATTTACTTACAAATTATATCACAAGACAAATATTTTGTTTTTTGTTCCAAACAATTATATTATAATTAATACATTGGTGATTTGATTTAATTGCCTTCATCCAAGATTTATGATCACAACATATTAATTTCCAGCAAAACCTCGTATTTACTTACAATTCAAAGTGCAAAGAATAACTTGGTATCACATTTAATATCATAAATAAGCGACTAAATATTATTTTCATACACACCATATAAGAGAATAAAATCTCATTTATAACAAACAATATTAATTTACTAAATTCTATTTGTAAAAACACAATTAACTTTATTCTAGTTTGTTTATGCAGAAATAAATAGAAATCAAAGGGAAGAATGTGAACATAATAACATTTACTGTATATTTTTAGATAGAAAAAACATACAAAATGTGATTAACTTACAATTCGACCATCCATTCACCATTTAATATATCTGACCAATTATCTTCGTTTAAAACTATTAAATTCCCTTTACAATTAACTACGGTGATAATTTGAAGAAAACTTAAAAAAACGCACACGTGCCATAGAACAGACTTCATGGCTCGCGCCATCTTGGATGGCAGCCCCGCCCCGAATGAAGAAATATCCAAATGATTAATGATATTTTCATTATATATTTTCCCGTTTTTTAACCATTAAATTTTCTATAAATATCAAATGATTTATTTTCAATTTTTATAAAATTTTTATTTCGGCTTCTGTTAAATGTATTTTTAAATTTTCAATATTAAAATATAACCATTTTTGAGAGAAGACATTCAAATTATAAATATAAAATCGCTAATTAATAAATTAAATTATTTGTTTCGCACGATATTTATTAATAATGTCATATATTAATTAAAGTTACAATACTTACAATACTCGGATAAATTCAAATAACATTAAATATACAGCGCCATCAATAAGTAGTGATTGTTTCTAATTCCATCCGCCTGCGGGCACTAAGAACACCTTTATATTAGCAAGTCCATCGTGGGTTCGGCTAAACCCACAATGGAGCGGCCGGATATTGAGGGATGGGGCCCGACGTATTCGGACCGGCCACTTTCCGAAAAATTCTTAGTCTTTTCAACAATACAATATACATTAATAGTACAATAATTGAAATATAAATGTGTAACCCAACATAATGAAGAATAGATCTCTTGATTGAATATTTAATTACAACATAGCTACCCAAAGCTGATGGGTTGTCATTATAAAATGGTTTTTATTCTCTTCTTCCAGGAAATTGTTTCCTGCGATAGTTAGAGACTGTTCCGTAACATTTTTACCTCTACAGCAGTTATGATCCGACTATGGCTCCCGGTCCAAATCCGCCCCGCAAACACATTTCATACATTACTTACAAATGAAGGAAATAGGCCTACTTTTAATGCCGTATATATGAAACATTCAGAATACAAGTGCCCGCCATGTGCGCAATATGGCTTGCGTTATAGTAGACCACGGTACATCACTTTTTCCTATTTAAAATATGCAATTTCCGGTTATAATTAACTCTTGTAAGAAACTAAAATTATATTTTAAAATTAGTTCATACGTATTGTGGCCAGATAGGCAAAGAGATTAAAGCCTTAGTTCCATTTGCAAGTTTGAGTGGCAAAAGATGGCGGCAAAGATGTAGGACTGTGGTGATTTCTAGTAACCGTGAACAAATCAAAAGGGAGAGATAAGGTTAAGGAAAGTTGGATTATGACAAGAATGCTCGGAATACTGTCACCGAAACTATACCACTTCAGGACGTCATGGGATAATGCTAATTCAACGGACGCGAACATCGATACCTTAATTGAACGATTTCGACTGGAAGAAGACAGATTGAAGGAAGACGACAAGAAGGAAGGAAACAGAATGCCCTCATTTCAAAGCAGAAAACGCAAGGTAACAAGGACAGAAGTCAGCAGAAAAATTCAAGAGTCCAGTGTTTCAAATGCGGACAAAAGGGACACATAAAGAAATATAAATCAGGGCTGTGGAATCGAATAAAAATCTACCGACTCCGACCAAGAACGGACTTGTTACCGAAAGAGACCCGGAAATTCTGACGTCATCAGGTGACCTCAGAATAAAAGATTCAATAAATAGAGTTCTAATAAAGATAGAACGTAGAAACTTTTTATTTCAAAGCTAAAAGACTCCTCTAAGTAATATATAAATATGGATTCCGACTGTTATATATAACAGAGGGAAAGTGTAGCGCTCGGTCGAAAAATGTCCCCTCCAAAATTTTTACATTTTTGGACTCGGGACACCTTGAAATTTCGAGATACGCAAAAGATTCGAGGGTTTTTTTTTTATATATGTGGCTGTTAGACTGTGTGTGTAGGGCATGATCTTGTTCACTCTGTTTGAAGCCTAATAATTTCTGTGGTCAGAGTGGTTGGAATCGGAGTCAGATGGTTTAACACAGGAGTTAATTATTAAGCGTCAGAGTGGTTGAAATAAATCGTGTCCCCATACACATTCTAACGTCTTAGGCGAGAACATCTTAACGGGTTTTACTGTATTATTATAAAATGACAAAAAAGTTTACTTTGAGGGTAGAGACGAATTTTATTTTATTTTAAATTTTGAACGCTAATAACGAGTAAAATATTTATTAAGAGATATGGCACGTGACCACTTTTATATCTTCACCCTGTCGACTTTTAATTAAAAACCAAAATTTAATAGTATCAATGCCCCTTTATACGCGAGCCACAGTGCCACATTTCGTTTCTAAAACTTTACCCATTCTGAGATACTGTTTAATATCTCAGAACAGAAAATAAAGAAATTAAACAAATTAGACGCCAACTTAAGAATTTTCCTTAGAGATGCGGCCAGCCTCTAGTCTATCACTGTCCTTTAAATATAATCGTTTTCGTAAACATTTGTCTTACTTGTCTTCTCTAATCTAAATATTTTCCATTTTACATTTACTTATTTTATTTGTCAACCTCTAACTCCTCATCCTCTAATCACATCTGCCTATATATATGTTCAATATATTGTTTAAATAGTTGGAATTTCCTCTTTTTCCTTTAACAGTTTATATCTGAAACCCAAGAACCTAATTTACTGACTTTTAATCCCCCCTTTCTAATCTGTTCCTAACTTTTTTTTTGGCTCAAGTTTAATCTCTCTCTGTCTTATTAATTAAATTGATAAACACAATATAAATTGTGAATAACATATATCATAGCTCTTTTCTCACTGCAAACTACAATAATTCACCTAATATTAATAAATAAATAAAAAAGGTATGGGCTTAACCTCGATAAACTCCAAAGCCACCCTAAATCATAAATCTCTTTTCTGTAACACTTTAAATCGTAACACATGGTTTAACATTTCTACACACTTCCATAATTATACAGTAATACCTCGACTTACGCTACCCCGACTAACTATACACGAACTTACAGTATGGACTGGAAATCGTGTGTTATTTAAAGTAAAATATGACTAAAAATAGCCAGGTATTGTGACGATGTTGTAATACGTAACAGCTCGTTTGCTATTGTAATTTTTAAAATATATTCAAACCTTTTAGTAATTTTATATTTAAGAATATTCTATCCATGTGTTTAATATTTATAATTTTATTCCATAATAGTCTAGTTGTATCTAAAGGTATAAATTTCTCTTTACACCTGCTCGATATAGTAAGACTTTTTGATTACTGCACGAACATATAATCATATAATCAATAATTTACGTGTATTTATCAAACTTTACTATCAGATTTCTCAGTTATGGTACACGCGGATTAGAGATATTTTTGGACACGTGGTACTGTATTTGAAATTTCCAATACGATAATAAAACACGATTATTTAAAAGCATAATTAATACATCTAAAATCAATCCTGATTAAAAATAAGATTATAATAAAGTATAATTAATGAATTTAATGGAGTAATTATAATCGTTATGATCAATTAATAAAACGTGTTATAGTCGATAATTGTATTTTCGATAATTCGATAATATAATAGAATAAATCCGCAATAATAGTTTCAAACAGATGTTTCTCTTGTTCCGTCACTAAATAAAACACATAAATATCTTTACTGTGCTAAGTTATGTGTATTATAACTATTTCATCGTCTCAACTTTTTCATTGTTTAGACGTTTCATTTATCAATCCACTGTAAAGGTTACGGGGGTTGAAGAGTGGCAAACTTTTGCAGCTGTTAGAAAAATGCATACAAGAACCATTTATTAAGTCCTGTAAATAAAACTGAGTCAGCCTAAATCAAAATAATTGTCAATTATTGACGTTTCTTTTAAATTGTGCCACGTGTCTGTGTCACGAAATTGACGTGCCGCCATTATTTAATGTATAACTGAGTGTTTTATAACTGAGAAAAAAGAATTTGTCACTGTTCTTTGTCGGAAATCAAATGATAAAATGCTTTAGTTAATCACTCAAAAAATTAATATTAGTATTAAAGTTTGAAGGGGTGGGGAGATAGAGTGGGCATAAACACGTGTCATATCTCTTGTGAGGTGGGACTTAATAAAAATTTTAATCGTTATTTGCATTTATAATATACTTGAAACTCATCTCTACCCTGAAAATTTAACCTTTTAGCCTTTTTAATTAATTAATAATATAAAAGTTATTTTTAAAATAAAATCTCGTAACAGCCGGGAAAGTTAGGCAACTCCCTGCAAGATATTTTTTATTTAATTTCTTAGTTAAATTACTTCAGTTTCTGACATTTTTTCCCCATTATCAGAAAATTACTAGAGGGATGGAAAAAAATCAGTTTTGTTATTTATACCAAGAGAATTTCCTCATCCACAATTTAGTAGCTAAAATCATTTTAGTTACCGGTAACGGTGGGGGGAAAAAATCGAAGGTTTAATTTGTAAATCAACCCGTCTGGCGCCATTCTAGCTCACGAGATCTGTAATGCGATGTGTATAGTTAGATAAGCTACAGTACGTAACTACAGCAGATCGAGTCCATATAGTAATGTACATAAATAGGCTTTATTAATACAAAAAGGGTGTCACGCGAGATCCACTATCGTGATCGTCCATGTTTTGTAAAGTAGACCCCATTCGCTATACGTGTTAATATTTCAAACTCGCTTCCATTTAATGCGTCACGCATTTGTCACCGTAACACGAAACTTTTCTGTCATTCTCCCTGTGTATTGCTCTTATTACTTTGAATAACAAACAATAAAAATAAAGAAATTCTTTGAAAAATTATTAATTTTTCTGACCATAAAGGTTTTCATTTTACAAATTTTCTGATAATTTATGGAAATTTATTGGAATTTAAACATTATTTATTTATTTACTACAGTATTTAAATTTATAATTAAAAAGTTAAAGTTTAAAAGGTGTTTATTGATAGGAAAAAATTTTATTAAATATTTAATATTTTAATATATGTATACATACATAATTAATATTTAATATTTTCTAATAACACGAGAGATGTATTGACTTATTGTTATATATAGCCTATATATATAAGTCAACGTAGGAAGGCCAACAAGACAGGATAAAGATATAGAAGGCCTTAGCCTGATTCTAAGTAACCAGGCCTTATACTATCTCAAGACA